TTAGGGACACGTCCCCTTCACATATAATGGTTGCGACACCTATGCTGCCGGTACAAACACGCGCATGTCTGTCTCTCTGTTCCACAGTCCATGGAGCAAGAACAGAGTCAGGTGATCAGAGACAGAGCATCAGAGAAATTAATGATTCCTGCAGGAACAGCTGAAACTCCACGAGCTTCAGGGTCACATGATCACCTTGTTACAACTTCTGGAAGTTACAGCTCATTTAAAGAAACATATATTTTGTTACATTTATGATCAACAGATCTTAAGATTCATTTTATTCAGTTATTTTAAGAAACTTCACCTGCACTTTAGTTTTTGTGGTGGATTTATTGATCTATATTTTGTGTAGACTTTTTCAATCTAAATAACAGAAGGATCATTTTTATTTTTATACTTGAAGACTGAATACATTACTAAATAAAGTAATTTCAGTAAAATTAACCCGTTTTTTTTAGTTTTTATATAATACTGCAAAGCAACATGTTAAGTTAATTTAGTCAAATGAATAACTATAATTTCTGTTTTTTTGTTTGTTTTTGTTGTTATATCACAAAATTTATTGTTATCGCCAGAATGCTCAGAAATATCACAATATTATATTTGAGCCATATCGTCCACCCCTAGGGGGGACGCAAGAGCAGTGAGCAGCCAGAAACAACACACAGAGGCACTGCAGAGTTCAGATAAAATCACTCAGTTCAAATAGTTCCCTCTGGAGATCCGTGCACACTCGGGGGGGTGCCGAGGACGACCAGAGACAAATCCAGAGTCCTGAAATGATGACAGAATGTTTATTCAGCTGGGCTCCTCTGAAAAGTCCATGAAATTCCTCAGTAGGATGTGGGGGGAGGGGCAGAGCATCAGGTTTACAAAACTTCCAGGCGGGTTGAGATAAGAAGTCCTGTCAAGGCCAGTCATGGAGCTGAATTCAGATAAACATGATTGTTTTGGGGACAGGTAGAAGTCAAGTCAAGTCACATTTATTTATATAGCACTTTTAAAACAGTAATTGTTATCAAAGTGCTTACCAAAAAAGATCACAGCATCAAATATTAATAACAACATATTACAGCAATAAAAGCATAAAACCAATTAAATATAATGAGAAACAATGAAATACTAAATCAAATCACCCTGCGTTAAATGTCAGGGAGTAAAAGCAAAATGGATGAACACAATCATCAACAACGAAATACCAAAAGAGATTGCACTGTTAAATGCCAATGAGTACAGATGTGTCAGTGAGTACAGATGTGTTTTGAGGAGAAATTT